GACCAGCCAAAGACCAGCCAAGGACCAGCCAAAGACCAGCCAAGGACCAGCCAAATACCAGCCAAGAACCAACCAAAGACCACCCAACGCCTCTGAGCCTTAGGCTTACCTCACCGTGATGTCACTGCCGGAAGATGTCAAGAGTGACATTTTACTATATTTGGGCAAAAATGGCCGCTCCCAGACTCAGTGATCACGACGCAAATTTTTGTTTTTATTTTTTAACTGATTAACGCTAAATTAATGAAAAACTTATTAGCTTTAGGTATAGATAATGATCCATTTCTTGCTGACCAGACTTTTCCTTTAGGATGTCCTAAGGCACCTTGATGTGCACATATGTCTGGAGACGTCTTGAGACACTGTGATGGTTGGGTATGTATATATATATATATGTTGAGGGGTGCCCACTGAAGGTCTAGGTACAAACAGATGTTGGCTCTACCTTGGTGACGGAGTTCATGGCCACCAACCATGTGATGAAGCTCTGGTCCCGGGTGATGTGGGTCAGCATAGGGGTGTTGCTGTTGCTGATGGGGACCGCCCAGGTCACGCTGGGGTAGAAGTTGTCGTTCATGCTGACCGTCAGTCGAGACGGTTTGGACGTGGGCCCGGTCAGGGTCACCGTTTCCGTCGTGTTGCCGTACCAAGGGTAGCTGACGCCGTCCGAGTCGCTGATGGCCTTCACCCGACCCTCTCGCAGCTCCGGCAGCTCCCAGCTGGACCTGCAGCGGGACAGGAAGTAGAAAGGTGAGGAAAAGACGCGTGACGCCCCACCAGAAGCCGGGCGGCGTCTTTCCCCTCTTACATGCCAATATCGCCATAGGTGTTGTAGAACTCCATCTGGGTGCAGGCCTGGATCCAGCCCACCACCCAGGTCTCGTTGCGGGGCACCGGGGGCATCACGACGCCCGCCGAGGCCCTGAAGTAGGGCGTCTTGTACCGGAGCACAATGGGCGAGTTCTCCTCTATGATGGTGGGACACTGGTCGATGGAGGCGGACACTTCGTACACCACGATGTTCTCCCGTCTGATGCGGGGCTTGCAGGCGATGCTCTGAAGGCAGCCCATGGTGCAAGCAAGGAGCAGAAGCAGAGAAGGGACCAAGTGATGCCCGGCCAGTACGCTCATCAGTCCCCCCCGCCGCCCCCAGGGCTCCACCCGAGCAGCTCTGAGCTCTTAATTGCACATCATCAGTGATTGGTTGGGAAGGAAGAGCAGAGAGGATGATTGGGGAGAGCCACAGTCACCATAGATCAAACAGGATAACATCCACCATCATATGATCAGAGGGTTTGGAGAGATGTTTCTGGGAAGATCTCTGCTCCGCAGCCTCCTCCCCCCCGGTCTGTCTGCTGACTGCCGCACTGCCCTTGGCGCTCGTCCCCAGAAACTGCAATCCGGCCTCCCCTGGGCTGCTCCTCCTGCTGCTGCTTCCGCTCCTGCTTGCGTCCGGCTGCACGTCGGTGCCCCTTGATCCTGCTGAGCTGCTCGCGGCTCCGCGCTGTCATGTCAGGTGGCGACAGGGCGGCCAGGTGCGTCAGAGGAGGGAGGGAGGGCTGGGGGGGCACCTTTTGTTCCGCGCGGATATTCCCTGAATTTTCACGCGGCGCCCTGGAAACACCAAAGCGGGGTCTTCATCACTCTGACCTATATGAGGAGAGGAGAGGAGAGGCGAGCCGGGTGGGGGGGGGGTTAATGGTTTCCATCCAGCCATGAATGGTGCATGATGAATGGAGGCAGAGAGGCGGAATAAAGGAGCAGGAAAGCAGGCAGCAGCCTCCTCATCAGGGCCGCAGCGGAGAGCATCTTCCTCCCGGCAGCGGAGCGCCTTGTTCGGGTTGGAGGTGCTGATGCTGTGGAGGGGAGGGGCGTCACCCGACCTCTGCATTGAAAAGAAAAAAAAAAAAAAAAAAAAAACAAGTGCACTGGGGGGCGTGGCCACGAGGCTGCATCACACCAGCCTACGGGGAAGCTGATTGGTTGCTGAGGTGGAGAGGCGGAAGTGGAGCTCCGTCCTCCTCCAGCGACCCGCTCACTGACACGCACTCACCGGGCCACCGTGGAGCCGCTGCCCGCTGCCTGCTGGTTTATGTTGGGCCGTCTGCTCGGTCAGAAAGCTCCGAGTCTTTTCAGGCGGCTGTCTGTGATCATGAAGCCGAAGGTGATCTTCGTCCTGGGCGGACCGGGAGCCGGGAAAGGGACCCAGTGCTCCAAGATCGTGGAGGTAAGAAAGGAGAAAAATCAATAAAACTATTATTATTATTTCTGTGCTTAAAGGTTTCAGGAAAGTCAAATTTGTTCCGGTTTCTGCTTTGATCCCAAAACTTTGACTCATTATTAGGTTTTTATTAACCCTGTAGTTCCGGCTTCCTATTGGCTGCTCGCGCTCTGATGGTGTTAGCATGCTAGCTAGCTGGATCCTGGATCAAAGCCTCCAGCTGGTCCACAACCAGAACCTGATCAGAACCAGAACCTGATCAGAACCAGAACCT